TTTTTAAGCATTAAAACTCAAGTTAAAGGTTGGTGATCATACCACAACTCAAAAACAGAGGAGGGAGATGCTCTTAGAGCTCACAACAACCACTCAAAGCTGATTCAACATGATGCACGAAAATGACACCATCAAGAGTAGGTTTTTCTTCACAAAGGTGACACTTTGAAGATCAAAATGCCAAGAATGAGACTCCCACTCTTCAAACACAAAACTCAGCAGTTCAAACTCCCTCACACAGGTTCTCTAACTCAGAAAAAGGCCAACAATGCAGTCTCAAGGCCAACCCTCACCCTCACCAAGTGTTTAAATGGAAGAACAAGCATCAAAGGTGATTACTTGATCAAGAAATGGAGAATGAAGCCTAAGAATACTATTCAGGTCAGCCTCCAAGAAAAGCCACGTTCAAAATTTAGGTATCTAGGGCAATGTGCCCTTAGACATAGTATATATAGCCAAAACTCATTAAAACACGCAGTATTAGCTTAAATTTCTACGCTAAGCATTTTAATCCCAAACTTTGGATTCTGAAGCTACACATTTTTCCAAAGCCAGTACCGGTTTCTAGCATCAGTTCTCATTATTTGGACTTGAAACTCGTTTTACAAGTCCTACATATTATTCTAGTAATTATCATGCACTTATTATAATTTTTCGGGATACTTTTTCGTTATGCATTTATACCGACTAGCAGAACCGGTATCTGCACTTTTCTTCCAAAAAGCGACTTTCAGCATTCTTAATCACTTACCATAATTATTAAAGCCTCTTAATAATTATTAGGGTCAATTATGGAATCATTTCCTATTTTCACATAATTAATTAATTAAATACCTTAATTAACGGTGCAGGTTCTTACAGTATGAGTCATATTTTTTGCTTACATTGCAACAAATGCATATAAACAAAGTCAAAGCAACTACACTATTTGAGATAGACTTTTATTTATTGCAATCACATTTAAAAAATAGTAATAAATATATTTTTTTTGCAAGGATTAATGTCATTAATCTTTGAAATTTCACAAATTTATATTTACAAAAATTGAAATCAGATTTAGTAAAAAAAATTTGGTAGTTAGATTTAGTAATTTAATTATAAAAGAAGAAGGATAAAATTTCAATTGAATTATAAAAATATATTGGCGGGCCGGCCCTCCGGGCCGATCCCAGTTTGCACCTCTAACTGTCAGCATTTTATATAAATAATTTCTTTTTGCAAGGATGAATGTCGTTAGTCTTTGGAATTTCACAAATTTGTATTTACAAAAATTGAAATCAGATTTAGTAATTTAATTATAAAAGAAAAAGGATAAAATTTCAATTGAATTATAAAAATATAACGGCAGGCCGGCCCTCCGGGCCAAGCCCAGTTTTTCATCTCTAACTGTCAGCCTTTTATATAAATAATTAATTTTTACAAGTATTTGTGTTAATTACACTCTTGCAATAAAAAATGAAAGTTTAATTTCTTTCTTATGTACTAAATTAAAATTTTCATTTTTATAGTTCTTAAAATTTAAATTTAAATTTTTTTATATTAATTATACATATTTTTATATAACTTTTTTCTATTTTAATTTATGATTTTTGTATATTTTTTTAATTGGTTATACATTTATATTTAAAATGTTTATGTTAAATAGGTTTTTTAAAAAATACATGTATATTTTTTTAAAATGTTATACTTGTATATTTAAAAATTTTATGTTAAAATTTTAATTTATTTTTTGTGAAGTTTAAATTATGCCATTTCTTTTTTTTTCATTTAAATTTGAAATTTTAAATAATATTTATAGACTATAAATGTATTTTCTTAATTTTATATATTTTATTGTTTAATCTATAATTTTATATTAAATTCAAATTTTTTATATATTTTTTTTCCACTGCATACATATTAAATGCTGAACTCTTTTTCCACAAATCAAGTTCACATAATATTCCATTTAATTTATTTTCAAATTTTGAATTTATTTTACAATATAAATAATTTTGTTATTTTACAATATTTTTTTTTAATGTTTTTGTTTTTTTATGCTGCATTAATAGGGTTAATAATTATCCATGCAAAAAATAGTGGGATATACAACAAAAGAAAAATAGAAATCTCTTTTACTCATAATATACAACAAAAGAAAAGTAGTGGGACCTTAAATGAGTTGTCTGCCAAAAAAAAAATTCCAAAAGTTTTCCAACCATTACAAAGTTAAAAATTCAAATTCAAAATTCAAATTTAAACATAAATTCGAAATTTAGAAGAGTTAAATTATTATTAATTTGGAAATTCCAATGTAGAATGCACTGGGACATTGAATGAGTTGTCTGCCACAAAAAATTATTCACATAATTTTCCATTTAATTTATTTCTAAATTTCAAATTTATTTTACAATATAAATAATTTTTTTATTTTACAATATTTTTTAATGTTTTTGTTTTTTTTTATGTAACATTAATAGGGCTAACAATTACCCAAGAAAAAATGGACAGATATAACATCATAGAAAATAAAAAAGAAATTTCATAATATACACTTTAATTAATGTGAAATTCGTTAATGTATTTTTTAGTAATTCGGTGTTTTGGTTATGGGTTTAGGTTTACTTACTTTACTATTGTTTGCTTTTATTTTGTCTGATATAACGTTTGAATGGGTTTTGGTTTTAGACTTTTTTTAGTAATTCACTGTTTTGGGCTTATTCTTAGTTTTTTTTTGTTTTTTAGTTAGTAATGGTTGGAATATTCAGAGGATTAATCTTGGATAAGCGGTAAAATTAGTTTTTATGATCGGAAGGGTATCACTCATGTGTAGAAAATAATTTATTTATTTTTTTACAAAATATAAAAATAATACTGCGTTTGAAAAAGTTATACTTATAACCTCTTTTAGGTTATATAACCTTTTATAATTATTTTCTTTATCATTATAATAAAATCAATAATACTAAAATGACTTTAATTGAGTAATTGTAAAAAAAATGCATTGTAAATATAACTTGATTCATTTTTGTGAATTTAAATGATTAAACTTTTTTTTTATGATCAAATATTATTAAACTCGGATTGATTATCAACTCGGTCAAGATATTGGATCAATAAATTACTGATCCAATTAATGAGTTATTGGTTCAATCGATTACATTAAAATTATATTGTAATATAAAATAAATAAATTGATTGTTGAAAAAAATTGATAAATAGAGTACTCGTGTAGTCCTCTCTCCGCGGTTCAAATCCTCGTGGCACCTTTCTTTTATATTTTGTTAAAAGTTTCAAAATCCTCCGGTCCGGTTTAATCCGGTTGAACCGGGATCAATGAAAAAAAAAAATTAAACATCAAAAGGAAACCGAATATCTAAGACTCACAAGTCAGTGAGTCACTATCAATGTCACTCAGGTCTATGACTTAACTTTTGAATTTCTGGCTCTTAATTTGTTTTAATTTTATTTGAGTTTGATATATTTAAACATTGTTGGTTTTGTAAATTATGTGCTCCAAAAAATCTAGGTCAGTGTTCTGTTAAGGAATAATTTTTTTTTTTTTTATTGCAGACCATTTGCTTGCTATAATGCATACATGGTAGAAATTGGTTTAGTAATTGTTCTAGATGGTGGTCAACGTTTCTTTTACTGACTCTGAATTTCTCCCCTATTCGTATACATTAGTTTTGGAGGTAGGGGTCCTTAATGAGAAGAACTTTCATAAGATCTAAGGATTTCTACAAGATGAACTGAATTAACAAAGTTTTATTGGTTTGGAATGTTTAATATTAATGATAGACTAACTATTGAGTATGATTTATACTTCTCATTCATATAACGATTCTTGTTAGGCGGACGTAGAGAAAGCCAATGGGGGGAGCCATCTCGACAGGGGATGGGGATAGGGCCTCCATGACCGCAGAGGTTTGGTACTTTATTTAACTTTTTTTTTAGTAGTTTAGGCTTGAGTCCATGAATAATTACTTTTGCTTAGAGTTTTTAAATCTAGAGTAAACACCCTTTTTAGTCCCTGTCAATATCTACGAAATTCTTTTTAGTCCCTGGCAATAAAAAAGGACCAAATTGGTCCCTGAAATTATAAAAAAAGGGTCATGTTAGTCCTTATGTCAACTCCCAAATATGTAGAGTGGCCCTTTTCTTGTACTTTCAGGGACCAATTTGATCCTTTTTTATTGCCAAGGACTGAAAAGGACTTCGTAAATATTGCCAGGGACTAAAAAGGATGTTTACTCTTAAATCTATTTATATTTTCCTTATAAATAAAGTGCTTTGTAATAAATGCAGTGAGAAGAATATAGTGAAATATTGCTGAATGTAGCTCACATATGATGAATCAGGTTAAATCTGCGTCTCTATTCTCTCTTCTCTTATCTCTCTTTTGTTTTGCAATTGTGTCTGTGATTGTTCAGTTCCAAAACTAAAAGTGTAATTTCCTCATCATATGACCCGTGAATGCTGTGGTTTGGGAGCTAGAACAGAGTTCTCTATTTATGCACACCACCTGTTTATGCATTTACATGCATGGAAAGGAAATGGCCTTTGAGTAGTTAACTTCAACGAAACTGATGTTCTCTGTGAGGCGTGAGCCATGTTTTTCTTATTCAAACTTTACAGGTCTTTGATGGAGAAGTTGTAGTGGGAGGGCTGTGCATGGGTCATGAAAACTTGAGGGTGAAATGGGGTCTAGAGTGTTAAGGATAGGAACCAGGGTACTGATTTTGCTTTCTCTGAAATTAATATGTTTGTTAGCAAATTTCTTATGGAAAAATTTGTTAATTTACTCTTAAAATTGTGTGCCTCTAATACAATTAAAAGAGTACTAAAGGAGTATTACAAATTGAAGAAAACAAAAAAATCACAATTCACAATTCACAAGGCCTACATTCAAGATATCCTTAAGCTTGTAGCATATTTTTACATTTAGAATCAATCAACCTTTTCCCTTATTAACCTGTTTGTACACAAAAAAATTAAAATTTAAAAAATGAAAATCACACCAATGTTGATTTACAATACATAGTTCAAATCCTTAACTCACTCTTCTGATGAGGGATGAGTCATACTCTTAAATAAATCAACTTTTTATTCAACATTGAATCCATTGCCAACGCCAATTGTCCACATAACAGCACGTGTTTCAGGCAGAAACTATGTGTAAACTGTGCAAGTCAATTATCGATCACAGATAATGCAAGACAACATCTTGTTAACGAAATTTTTGGAATCGGATTGTGTATGTCCATTAGCACAATCAACAATTTCAGATTCATCAACTCCATTTTTCTTTGCTTTCTCACACTCATCCAAGAATGTCTTGAATGCACCTTCAACATATTTAACTGCATCCGAAACACTCATGTTCTCAGTTAACTTTTTGGGGTATGTACTCTTTCTGTGATCCCCATTTAGAGTTGCTGCCATTTGTACCAATTCTTCCTGAAATTCACTCAACTTGGCCTCTTCTTGAGCAGCAGCTTCTCGTAGTTTGATAGGTTCAGGCAATTTCTCTGCAAAATTCGCAACATAGATGGTCAAGAATCAAGGCAACATTCTGTCCATTATAAGGAGGGATATAAATAAAAAAATTTATATTCATTCTTAGAAATTAATCTATTTGTATCTAATGATTCACATAACTAATTAATTAAAACTGTTAGATATACCTAAGTTAAACTCTCAAGAACAAGAGTATAAATTATATTGATATAAAATGATCACGTCCCTACTAACTATGTACTTGGTAACCAAGGTACATACATCTAGTATTTTAATAAAGAAAAATCAAATATAATGGTACATTGACCCTAGAAACTATAGTCTCACGCAATTTAGTTTATGATTTAAATTACGTGTATGACAGAGTATTTGAATTATTTAAATTCATTTCAGATTACTATTACTTTTAACAACTAAAGTGAAATAAATGAATTTGAATAATTGACCAACTAAATTGTACATTTGAGTGAATCAATGACTGAATCTCGAGTGAAAGTACATTTTTAAGGACAAATATATCATTGTTGTCAATAAAAGAAAATACTTTTTAGCTTATACAAATACAATAAACCAAGTAATAAGTGAAGCTCAATTCATGAAAACAGCTTTCATATATCATATAATTTCTTATGCATTGACACGTAAAAGAAGGAAGTAAAGATTAATTTTACCTCACACCCAAAAAAAGAAAATCATAGCAATATAACAATCATGAAGGAAAGGAAAAGGAAAGACAAAAGATAGAGATTTTACCTGGACAATCAGTTCGTGGGGTGGTTCGAGTTAAAAGACCATCAAGTGTTCCAGCCCATGCATCACGCTTTGTCAAAAACTCAGGTAGATTGAATATCTTCTTAACAGTTGCTGGAACAGAGGAATGCTCATATTGTGATGTTGAGGATGGCCCAGAAGGTTCGTGCAACACTGCATACAACATTATTTGACTATCAATTAGTAACTTTAGTGTTTTATGTTATACATAATCATTAGCCAGTATTTTCACAAGCTATGTCTAGGTAAAGGCTTCACTATTAAATAAAGTGTAAAATTCATTTTGATTATGTCATGCACTAGAAAACAAACATGATTAGAAAAAAAAAAAAAAAATTGGAGATTTAGGTGCAATGTATCATGAACCTAAGTCCATAGTAAACATTTTTTTTTTTTTTAAATAAAAAATGTGACCTTTAAACCTTCCCCCATATATTGATAACTTTTTAGATGTTATTAAAGGGTTCGTTTTCTCAATTGCTCCCTGCCCTGTACCTACCTAATTATGTACTTTTTTAACCCCCTGAAACATCACCCAATCAGGCAACCAACTAGACATATTATTCATATATGGACATGCATCTTATTTGTCATGAATCATTATACTAAAAATTTTATTAGAGTAATGGGAGTCACAAAATTTGAATTTTAAACTTTTTGGTCATAAACATTTAATATCATGTTATGAATAAACTCAAACAAAATCTTAAACTGTGTTAAATGAAAACACATGAATGATTTTATATTACTAATTCTAATGTTATTCTTACCTGTGCCGGGCTCAATCCATGGAGAAATAATGATGGCTGGAACCCTAACACCAAGCCTATCAAACTGAAACTTGAATGGGTCAGGACCAACAATGTCATCTGGACTTGGCACTCCATCCACAGGGGTTGGTACATGATCAAAAAAGCCACCATGCTCATCATATATGATCACAAACATGATTTCATTCCATTGTGGACTAGCTCTTAGTGCTTCATACACTTCTTTTACAAATTTTTGTCCTTCTGCAACATCATGAGATGGATGATCATCATTCCCTGGTACTGATAACAAGTCCCAAAATCTTTGTTCAATCACCACGTAGTTTGGTAATTTTCCTTCTTCACAATCCTTCTTGAATGTTAAGCCGAATTCGTGGAATCTATTCACGTATTTCAGTTTCCTAAGACTCCTGAAAGTGATGAATAGAATAATTTTTGTCAACCAAATATTAATAACAAACAAATTATTAATCATCTAGTAGAGGGATTACAAAAATAACATAACATAGAGGGTAATTGTACTCTAGTCTCTAGGTAATAAAAAACTACATCAAATAATTTATCAAAAAAATGTAAAAAAAAAAAAAAAGATTTAGATATAAAATCCGATACTTTTAACATAGAAAAATAAAATTTGTATAGATTAATTCATATTATGACTAGATTAAGTATAATTATTGTACAAATTAAAGTGGTATAAACCAATTATGTAGTGAAAAGTGGCTAACAAAATCAAGTAATTCTAAAAATTTATCAAAAATTAAATAAATAAAGAGTTTAAAAATTCTCACGTTGTCGAAGATAATTCTATCTCATACACACGTACGTAAAAGTGTTGGGGGTCTATATGGGGCCATGTTAAAAAAAGACAGAGAAAGAGAAAAACTAGGCTATATATATTTTATGTGTACGTAAGAGATAAAATTATATCAGATACAATAAAAACTTTAAACCCATAAATAAAATATTATTACTGTTGAGAAATATAGTCTCACATTTGTTGTATGGGCAACTAATGTGAGGTTTATAAGACCTTGGGCACTCTCACCCTTTGAGCTAGCTTTTGGGATGATGTATCCCAAGATTCTTAACAATTGCTATCTTTCTAAAATGGTTTGATATTTGTCTTTTTAAACGACATAGAGTTATATCATTTTAAATGAAAAAAAGACACAAATAATGAAAATAATAGAGGAAAAAGTGAATTTTTTTTAATTTAAATTTAAAAAATAATAATATTAGTTTGTGTCTTTCTCTCACTTAAAATAAACTATTTTTCCCTGCTAAAATATAACATATTACAATGATACAGCAAGTTAATCAATAATATTCGAGACAAATTCATTTCAACAACCTAGGACATTCTAACAATAAAGAATCAATTATACATCAAGCAAAGGAGTAGAACAAGAAAATGATGGTAACTAAGGTAAGTTATCAAATCAACAAACCTGTAGAAAAGGGTGGCTGGTGGATACTGATAATAAATCCCAAAACTGAACCCATTTTCATCCAAAGAATCAAATATGGTCTTTTGAGGTAACCCTCCAATAAGCTTTTTCGAGTCGTTGTTACTCAACCCATGCGACGTTGCAGAGTGCACATAAAGCCGGTTCGGTTGGGTCGATGCAGGAACCGAAGCGAACCAACGGTCACAAACCGCAAACTCCTTAACTAACTCTCGGTAGACCGGTACCAAATCCGGTTTGAACCCATTCATAACAGTTTCTGTCATCGTGGCAGTTGCGTTCTTTGGCAGCTCTTGCCTAGCGGCATTTTGAGCGAAGCCTTGCATAGACGGCGAAAGTTTTTTCGCCGCCGAAGCTTCGCTCCATGGCTCTCCAAAAACTTGTTCATAGATGTCTTGGATCGAGTGACCCGGATCCGGGTCGACATAAACTGACTGGTCGCCGAATTGAACCCGGTTAGAGTTGGGATCAGATGTGGAAACCGGGTTTGATTCTGAACCGGTGACACCATTGATTTCAGGGTTAAGGGATTTCATCCAACCCAGCATATGGTCGAAGGAACGGTTTTCTTGAACCAAAACAACAATCGTTTTGATGGGGTAGCTTTGAGTGGTGGTACTCGAAGCCATGTTGTTTTGGGTGTTGTTGGTTGTTGTTGATCAATTCTAACAAAGTGAAGTTATGTGTATATATATACACTCATATGATTATATAGTGAAGTTATATGGTTGTTGAAACAATTATCTGGTTGTTGAAGCAACTTAGATTAATGATGTAAGGAAAATGGATAAAGGTATGAGCCAGTTGCCAAACGGGGTTGTTCAAAATTAAGTTGCTTATTTCGTTTACAACACGTTTTGTTTTTCGTTCGGGGATTGACATATGACAATGGACAATTAGCTGGCAAGTGGCAACCTTCGTAATTATATGTTATTTGACAAAAAAATCGTGTTCACACTTCACATGTCACCCGGATATTTTAGCGAGGATCATGTTGCCTTCATAGTGTTAATAAAATCGGACCGATTCGGTCGGGTCGATCTGAGAATCGATCATATAATCAATTCGGTTGAAACAACGGACTGGCCATGCATTAGAACAAGTATGACCCGGTCTGATCTGACCAATTTTTATTAGAATCGATGACCCGGTGACCCGACCCGGTCCAAAAAAAAAAATCATAATAGACATATTTGAATATTTTTTTGCTTATTGACTTACATAAGTTATGTACCTACAACACTAATATTATCTCAATTATGCACTATACAGAAAATTTTGATTTGATTTATAGTTAGAGATGTTGTTTTCTGAACCTAAAGTCCCGTATCACGATCATTATATTTTTGTTTGATCCTTTATTGTATAATAATATGTGATTTATTATTTTTTATATTAAAGTATTTGAGTTTTTTGTCATTTTTTTTATAGATATTTGAGTATGTTTATAATTTTTTAATATAAATTATAAAATTACATATAATTACCAGGTCATGCGGTTGAACAAGTGACACACTGGTTGAACCAATAACTCAGTGACCTAGTACCTCGATCGAGTCAATGATCGGGCCGATTTTAATAACATTGCCTTTGATACTTCACATTGGTACGAGATTTATTTTATAATTATTTTTCTTTAATAAATATTTATTTTGGTTCCATAAATATTGAGTTGATGTCATTTTGGTATCTAAAAGATATGTAAAACATGGGAAGATTATATTATAAAATTTTTGCTTACAAATTTTTATAAACTACACTATATCGGACCAGTCATATTTCAATCAAGAGTGTATGACTGGTCACACTTAGTGTAGTTTGTAAGAAAAAAAATTGTCCATGTAACCCTCCCCATAAAACATAATCACAATACAAAGTTGGTAAGTGAGTTATGCCCGAACTTATTGTTGGGGCCAAAAGGTTTATGGTTTAATTTCTAATTAAAATAATTTGAAATATACTCACTTAAATCCTAATCAGTGTTTAAAAATACGGTCCGATCATCGACTCGGCCGAGGTCAGGGATCAGGGGTCATTTTATTGACCCGATTTTATACATTAAAAAATATAAATATATATCCTATATAAAAAATTCAAAAAATTCAAACCACCAATCATTAAAGATTCAAAATATACTTAATATACTTCAACCAATTACATCCACAAGTCAATATTCACAAGCTAATCAAAATATCAAACTATCAAAGTATAAAACACATATTTCAATGGAGTTAATAAAATGTTATATCATCAAACTCAGACCCTTCTTGTCCTTCTCATGCACCTAGAATAGTATGTGAAATGAGATCCCTTACCCAATAGAGAAAAGTGAAGGAGAGACGGTGACACGACAAATTAACGGTGGGGAGAGAAGAACATGCACGGTGGAGGAGATCACCAAATCAGGGAGACTAGTTTTGGGTCTGGGAGAGAAGATCAGAAGAGAAGAAGAAGAACGATTCAGATTTCAGATCTAGTTCTAAATTTAGGCAGCAACGAGTTTTTGTTTTGTTTTCTTTTACACATCGAACGATGTCATTTTGTATATAATTTTTAACAAAAAAAAATGCAATGACCCCTCTGACCCGGGAATCACGAGTTCAACCGGGGGATTTCAGGAATTAGAGGAATCAACGTGCAAGTAGGGTCTAACTACTAACTTGAACCCTCAGAGAGAGTGGGTCGTGATCCGACGGGGTCAACCCCGGGATGGGGAGCAGGGTTTTAAAACACTGCTCCTAATTCAAATGGACGAGAACACATCTTAAAATAAAAGATACGTGAGTAAAACATCATTTCATGCACAAATCATAAAATTGAAAAATTAAATTAATGTCAACTTTATATGATTGAGGGACTAATTTCTTATATTTTTTATTAATGAGACTTAATTGATGTCATTTATGTTTAGGAATCAATTTAATATCAATATAGTCTTTTCTAAGAACATAATGATAGTTTATTCTATTTTTTTAGATATTATAGTACTATTGAATAGTTTAACTTTTTTCTGTAAATTAATGTACATAATCTTAATAATCATAAATGTAGAATTTTCGGATCTCAATTCATAAATAACTTTTGAATCGATCTCCAGTCTTGCATTATCTAATCTAGTCATTGTTAAAACTATATTTCCTAAATACAATTAAAAAATAGTACTAACCTACGGATTCACATATTTTAAGGTGGGGAAATTGCTTGTAAACAAATGATTCGCATATACCATTTTTGTGCTATTTATAATTGATTATACAAGTTGACTTCTTTGTGTCCAAATGCATAAATACAAGTTACCTCTTTGTTGAGATCCGAATGTGCAAGTTATGCCAACGAATCATATCCGCATATACTAAACGTTTGCACATGATTTCTCAATTATGAAAGAAATAGTTTACTCGTTAAACGGTTGCGCCACATGGCATACTTATCTTACGTGAATAATTATTTAATTAATATTATATTTGTTCTTATCAATAGATCATTGTAGGTGGAATCTGAAGTGACATTACGAAATTTCTTCATACATCACATTTTAATTTTGAAAACTAAGTAGTTTATTTAACTAAATTTATTTTATGATTAGTTTCACGTTGGTCTCACTGAAGTTTTACTCACAACAGATACTTAGATAAATTTAATTTTAATATATTAATAGCATACAAGTTCTTCTTCTTTACATATTATATCTAATTATATATTAGTACGTTATCACAATTTTGACAATGACAACTTAAAAAATCAAGTTTTTTAAACAATGTGTTAATAAGTTATTGGGTTCGTTTTTTCTGCCATTGTTGCGAAAAGGAAAATCTTGCAATAGATACAAAAAAATAAAACCCAATGATTTTGTTTTTAAATACCATTATCCTAATAAATATGTATTTACTGTAGAAAAACTCTTTTTGCAACAATACGAGAAGTATAATTGCCTAAATTATTAGATGATAATATAGAAATTTTTGAATAATATTACTGTTGGAATATAAGATTCTATATGTTGTTATGATTTGCTGTGATATGTTGTAACCTGTAGTTTGTTAGGATATGTATAACCGAGTCCTATTGTAACCTGGATTCTCAAAAGAACCCAAGAGAACTAGTCTCACCAAAATAGGTTAACTTGATATTCCAACAAGATGATTGAATTATTCACTGCCAATGGTATATTTCATCAGAAATCCTGTGTTCATACGCCGCAACAGAACGGTCGGGTAGAACGGAAGCATAGGCATATTCTAAATGTGTCTCGTGCTCTTTTGTTTCAAGCAAACTTGCCAATCAAATTCTGGGGAGAGAGTGTGATGACAGCAGCTCATATTATTAATAGAACTCCCACAAAGCTTCTCAATGGCAAAACTCCTTATGAGCTTTTGCATGGATCTGTTGCTGATTACAGTCACTTAAGGATATTTAGCTGCCTATGTTATGCGGTGACACAACCAAAACCTACAAACAAATTTAGTCCACGGTCTAGGCGGTGTATGTTTGTTGGTTATCCTCATGGGCAGAAAGGTTGGAGAGTGTATGATCTTAATACTAAGGAATTCTTTGTGTCACGAGATGTCAGTTTCCACGAAGATGAGTTTCCTTTTGTTGCTATAAGTGTGCCTACACCTAGCCCATCATTACCTACATTTATACCAATAGATTCTAATGATTCTGCCAATCCAGTATCTCAATCAACTTCAAATGATTGTGAGGCAGAAGTGCAGTTGGAAGATAGGGGGAGTGTCCATCAGTCTGAAAGGGAGCCGAATGAAGATTCTACATCAAATGCTGATCAAGTGCAAAGGAGTGAGGATCCAGCTCCTGCTCTCGTACAAAGGAATGAAGATTCAGCTCACGAACTTGTGCAAAGAAGTGCAGAATCAGCTCAAAACGATTCTCTTCGTCCAGCACGCACACGAAGGCCTCCGTCCTATTTGAGTAACTACAAATGTAATCTGATTGAGGCACATACATACACTCCCAGTCTCACCTCTTCTAGCTCCACCTCAGGTATACGGTATCCAATTGCCAACTATGTGAATACTAACAATTTTTCTTCAAAACATCAAGTTTTTGTTGCTGCTATTGATGCAGGTAGTGAACCTCGGTCATTTAAAGAAGCAATGACCAATGATGTTTGGCGTAAAGCTATGGCTCAGGAGATACATGCACTAGAAGAAAATAATACGTGGACTATCACTGATTTACCTGCAGGCAAACATGCCCTTCCATGTAAATGGGTATATAAAATTAAATATCATTCCAATGGTAGCATCGAGCGCTACAAAGCAAGGTTGGTAATTGCAGGTAATCATCAAGTTCCAGGAGAAGATTTCCATGAAACTTACGCTCCTGTAGCGAAAATGGTGAGTGTTAGAACTCTACTCTCGGTTGCAGCTGCAAAAGGTTGGTACTTGCACCAAATGGATGTTCATAATGCGTTTCTTAATGGAGAACTGGACGAAGAAGTGTATATGCGCATACCGGCAGGCTTTAATCAAGGACAAGGAAGAAAAGTGTGTCGTTTGCAAAGGTCGTTATATGGCTTACGACAATCTCCCAGGAATTGGTTTGCAAAGTTGAGTTCCTCACTTATTAAATACGGTTTTGTTCAATCCGAAGCAGATCACACTTTGTTCACTTTGAAGCGTGGTTCTACCTTCTTGACCATACTAGTCTATGTTGATGATTTGGTGTTGGCAGGCAATGATTCCCAAGCATGTCAAGAGGTTAAGATTTATCTTAACAAGTGTTTTAAAATTAAAGATTTGGGTCACTTGAAATATTTTTTGGGCATCGAGGTTGCCCGTAGCAATGAGGGTATCTTCTTGTGCCAACGAAAATATGCATTAGATATCCTCAAAGAAACAGGTTTGTTGGATTGTAAACCGGTTCAGTTTCCAATTGAACAGAATCATCGCTTAGCTCTGGCAGATGGACCTGACTATGATGATCCAGGTCGCTATAGAAGAATTGTCGGCAAGCTAGTGTACCTTACGATCACTCGTCCTGATTTGAGTTATGTAGTGCACACTCTTTCACAGTTCATGCAAGCTCCAAAGGAAGCACATTATGAGGCTGCCATTCGGGTACTAAGATACATCAAAATGAATCTTGGCCAAGGTATCCTCCTTTCTTCCAAAAGTGATCTCAAAATTCATGCTTTCTGTGATTCAGATTGGGCCAGCTGCCCTTTAACTCGCCGGTCAGTTTCTGGGTTCTTCATTATGCTTGGAACCTCACCTGTTTCTTGGAAAACAAAGAAGCAACTCACTGTCTCACGCTCCTCAGCAGAGGCTGAGTACCGCTCCATGGCTGCCGCGACAGCAGAATTGATATGGTTGAAGTCTTTTCTTGCTTCACTTGATGTTATCCATGATGATCCTATGGAATTATGTTGTGATAATCAAGCCGCTATACATATCGCGGCAAATCCTGTGTTCCATGAGCGAACTAAACACATTGAAATTGATTGCCATTTTGTCCGGGAAAGGTTGGTTTCTAAGACGATTCGAACTACTTTTGTTCGTTCTCATTTGCAACTCGCAGACATTTTCACCAAAGCACTTGGTCGTGTTCCATTTCTTGTCGTTCTTTCCAAGTTAGGCATTTCATGTCTTCATGCTCCAACTTGAGGGGGAGTGTTGGAATAGAAGATTCTATATGTTGTTATGATTTGCTGTGATATGTTGTAACCTGTAGTTTGTTAGGATATGTATAACTGAGTCCTATTGTAATTAGGTGTAGTTATTTATCTTTAGGAAGTTGTTTTACTATTTGGTAACAGACTGTTTGGTAACAGCCGTAACAGCCTATTCTATTTAAGATACATTGATGTACAGTTTTAAATCAATGGAAATACTATCAATTGATACCATTTATCATGGTATCAGAGCAAATCATAACAACATATAGAATCTTCTATTCCAACAATTACTGACAACTTTTAAATAATAAAATAACTTATATTGATATAAAATAATATTATTGTCTCTCTCTCTCTCTCTCTAATTGTTGATTGGGATATGTATATAATACAGTTCGAAGTAAAATCTAAATTGATGTAAATCGTGTGTGCGCGCGCGCGTATAATATACCGTGCAAGTGATTGTCTGAGTGTAATCTGTAACGAGTGAGGTGGCACCATGATTAAATTCATTACATTGAAATGTAAAATCACAATAGTACATCATTAGAAACTATAAACATCACTTTATTTTATCGTTAACAAAAATAAAAATAAAAATTCATACACTGCCATATTAAACATTCAAGAATCCACTGAACACTGATACTTGTCTTCTATACTTTTGGCTGAAAAAGATATGATTGTTTGTGCCTTTAAGTTAAAGCTTTGAAATAGCATATGTAGGAAGATTGTTTAACCTTTTGGGTAGCTCCAAATCTTCCCATCCTTCATCATCAAGCTTAGAGAAGTAACGGTCAACGTCCCTATCACTTACAAGCTCCAATTTGGAAGGCTCCCACTACCAAAAAAATCATCATGAGAACCAAAGAACCACAATTTCAATAATACTAATTAATTCATGTGATGGAATGTTCATGAGTTAATGGGAAACAATGGTACACAATCAAACTGGCTACACACCTTAGGGTTCCTGTCTTTATCTATCAGAATAGCTCTACAACCCTACAGTAAGGCATAACCATTTAGTAAGGCATGAAAGAAAAATAATCTAAAAGAGAACTATGTATAGGAATGATCAGAAAACCTCAAAGAAATCCTTGCTGCAGTGTCCTCGTAGCATATGACAGAGAATTCTATACTCACAAACAAGGCATTGACCAACACCTAGGAGCCTTTCTTCTCTAATCTGAAAAAGCCAACAGAAATTAAGGAACATTCATTATAATAATAATGATGATAGTGTAATCATGATGGTAATGATATGATACGTGAATTCAAAGATTGCGGTGGTATTTGCAAGAAAAGAGAGAAAATCTTAATTAGCCAGTTTATTCTCCCTCTGGATGACAGACATAAACCAAGGTCATAGGTAGATTATTATCCTTGTCCATTTATTTCCTTGAGAGTCAATTCACAATAAAAACATGTTTCCAACAACCACCCCACTTCGGGCAATGGGAAAAATTAATAAATAGAAATATAAAAAAAAAGTCAACATAAGCCCATTCAAGCTTTCACCACATTTAAGCTCAATATAAGAGATTAGGTGGTAAGATGATCAAGCTCAATATCAGAGGTAGGTTAGTAAGTTGATATACATGGCAAGTACCCGACCAGATCTAGCAAACGTTGCAAGTGTCATTAGTTAGTTCATGCATGATCCAAGAGTGAGACACTTACATGCATTGAACATGATTATACAATATTTAACCGGTAGAAGATTATTATTTAAGAAGGGTGAAAGCTGATCCATGGAAGGATCAATTGATTGGAGTTCAACCTTTGGTTACTGTATGTTCTTGGGTGGAAATTTGGTTACATGGAGGAGCGAGAAAGAGAACGTGGTCACCCGATTAAGTGCTGGGTTGTGAAGGTTTGCTTTGTTCTTCGGAAAGCATTTTGCTGTCTCTCTTTTTTCTGAAAATATTCTTATCATCCTATCTCTTTACAATCATATTCTCTTTCTCTTTATGAATTTCTTGCTTTATATATTAAAAAAAAACCAACAAATATCCTTGAACATATAAAAGAGAAGTGAACTCTAGAATGTACATAAAACATAACTTTTAATACTTTCTGCATACGTACCAATCTAAGAAACACTTTAAGGCTTGTTGGAGATGCTTTCTTTAAGGTTTGAATAGTTGTAGAAATCCAATTATCAGCATTACTCACAGCTTCCATCTCCTAAATCAGCAGGATAAAATTATGGTTGCTAAATGGCAAGAGTTAATCCTTGATAATGAGCAAGAATATTAATAAGATAATTTTAATAGCATAACTCAACATAACTTACAAGAGAAAATAATATTTCCTCAACTGTTTTTCTAGAGAAACACTTATTGATGACATCTATCCTGCAATGAGCCACCACAATAAACAGAGATAAATGAGAAACAACAAAACTAAGCTAGTGCGTTCTGTTTCAATTATTTGAAAACAATAAAGAAAACAAACACCATATTGTACTAAAAACGTATATTTATAGAGCTCGCAAAAATCTTTCATTTTAATGCTTTTTTAGATAAAAGAAAAATTATGTTACTTAAGAACAAATAAGTACAAGGGCAACGGATAAGATATCTCCAAAATAGAAACCAAAAATAAAAAACCAAGACAAACTAGATAAGCACATAAAATAAGCAAAGTTCTGCAATTACCCCTTAAAGTAGCCATTAAGCACCACAAAGAAGTTTGTTTGAAAATATGTAAATAGGCTAACCAAATCTTGTAAGTACAGTAATCAAGATATTTGTGAATCTTGTAATTATTGCATTAACTCTATATAATAAAGCCTCTGCTATGTAATATAAACACGCGTTTCATCACAAGTTCCTCTTTTCTCTTCCACTTTACTTGGTATATAGAGTCTAAAAAGAGACAATTCTAATCTGTGCATACTTGATGGACCACCCTGCCCACAGGTGAATTTTTTTTTCTGATAAACTATGTTTCAGCTCTGGTTTCTGGTCTCCCAGCACCGTGTAATTTTTCTGTGCATACTTGATGGACCACCCTGCCCACAGGTGAATTTTTTTTTTCTGATAAACTATGTTTCAGCTCTGGTTTCTGGTCTCCCAGCACCGTGTAATTTTTCTGTGCATACTTGATGGACCACCCTGCCCACAGGTGATTTTTTTTTCCTGATAAACTATGTTTCAGCTCTGGTTTCTGGTCTCCCAGTACCGTGTAATTTTTCTGCTGATAGCCTAAGTCTCATTGCATACTGCTGGCTAACAACTTTTCTGACAAGCTTTTTAACCAGCGACCACACCTCTGAACTACTCTGGTTTGGATCAGCCCATCCTTCGTAGTTTAGATCACTCATCCAAAGTGCAGTCACTTTCATCTGTGCACCTCGCCTCTCTCTCTCCTCTACCAAGATCTGCACTAATCTCATTCAACTAGCTTCTTTTTGGTCGTGCCCTCTCACGTAGCACCCTTCTGATCCCTGTTGCACTGTTTTTCTCCGTTGTCTTCTAACTCGTGGTTGGATCTAGCTCTACTTACGCGGAATGTTGAAAATCTGAATTTTATTGTTTCATCATTCATTTAATAGGTTTATAACTTATAGACCAAAGTGAGTAATTACTTTCCTAATACACTTCTTAGTATTGTGTATTCATTGGGTAAAAATCCAATATCCAGGATGAATAAAAACAAAATGTGGTCAAAAGATCAAGTTTCAAAGTAGAATATCAAGCCATGGCCTTGCCACTTGCGAACTCATTTGGTTAAAACAGTTACTTAAAGAGCTCCAATTTGGGGATAACATGCAAATTACACTCTTCAACAATAATTAGGCTGCATTGCATATCGTCTACAATCTAGTGTTTCACAAGAGGACCAAATATATTGAGATGGATTCTCACTTTATTAATGAGAAAATCCTATCTAGAGACACCACCACTAGCTTTGCCAACTTAAATGATCAATTGGCAAGTGTTTTCACCAAGTCTTGGAGAGGTTCTCGGTTAAGTTATATATGTAACAAAAGGATTTCATGATCTCTTTTCTCTTCCTCTTTACAAAGCTAAAATTAACACTTCATCTCATAAAAACAAAAACTTATCCTTGAAAATTCTAGCATAATCCTCCAACCATGACCATCGATAAACAATATACAAGACACCAACAAATAGCGTTGCCATCTTTACTCCTCTGGTTATCCAAAAACCTCTAAAATCAACCAAAGAATCTACAACAATAACAGATATAAAGTGTAAGAATGCGCCAAGGGGGTTCTGATTATTGATCTTAACTTCCAGTCAACAACGTATTTCAATGAGATCCCTTTGAAATAACTCCTCTCAGCCATCATTACAGCCAAAAAAAAAAAAAAGGAACGATAGGAATGGATTTCAATTAAAATGAACAATTCGTTCTAGTATTAGGGTCCCCCAGGAACAACATTCCATTATATAAATTGTTCTGTACATGGAATCAGAACTCCAACCAGAATGAATAAATGCCCAAGCTTGAAAAATTTTACAATTTTATAATATATTGATATTAGAAAGAGACAAGCAAAATTACAACCAGGAGGATAAGATACAATACTAAACAGTAAAGCAAAAGGAAAACAATAATCCACAAAGGCTCAAATATATCAAGCTGTCCAATCTCTCTTCATATGGAGATCAAAGTAGACTGTAGAACACCTTATATATATATATATATATATTATTTATTTATATTGCATACCAACCTGTGACATATACTATCCTCTTTTAGGAAAGGTTGCTGCGAGTACTTATCGATAATTGCAGATACTGCAGTTGGATCACTAGTTTCCACCTTGCATAATGATTCTTCCAATAAAGACAATTTCTATGCATTGATTAAAAAAGGCAACAAATCAGGGACTCAAATTAGAAACCAGAGAGTTAATACATCACATAATATGTTAAGAAAGAATTATTATGCACTATAAAATTGTAATAATGTGATACGATACCACCCTTAAGGGCATTTAGGGAAAGCAATTTGGATGAGTCAGTAACTGTGTTATAAGTGTGACTGAAACAGAGTACACTTAGGATGAAATAGAAGGAAAAGCTAAATAAATGGTGGATGGCTGGGAGCGTGGGAAACATATGGGATATTGCTAGGACTCTTCTCTCACTTACTGCTTACAGTAGCTGTTGGAAACTAATTAAAAAAACAGCTCATCCTACATATAAAAAGGTTAACACCTCATTTAGGCGCTAAACTGTCTACTCCTTACTCAGCAGGTGCAAACCCATCATATGCCCGAATCCTTTGGTAATAAAGTGTCACCAACTTTCGAGATACATATGAAAAGCATCTCTAACTTTCTAATATCTATCCATAGATATTTCATGATAAACTTTTAACCCCCACGTCTGAAAACCATTTGATTAACCATTATATTTAAAACTGCACTAAATTTTCAGTGATTTGTGCATGCACATTTTTATGAGGGTAGGTATCTATTTACCAAAGACATAAATCATCAGAAGACCACACAATTATAATAGAAGGTAGCATACCGATGAAGGGACAAAATGTGTTGCAAGACCACAAGCAAGCATTTCTGCACCATCCAACCTGGCCGCCGTAAGACCAGCATATTCTCCTGCAATTTGTTTTCCAAGAGAAAGGAGGAAAAGGGGGAAAGAGAATGTTATTACATTTTCAAATTAGCAGTTTGAGAATGCTGAAAAGCTGTTGGAATTATAACCAGAAGTGTTCAAATAAATAGTATGATCCATATATACGGTAAAGAACTAATTCAACCAAAAAGCTTAAGCTATTAGGTGAAGGCACATTAATGATTTTATATTTTATATTATATTTCTTTAAAACACTCTTCACACAAAAGTCCATTGGGCTTGAAGGGTGGACAATGCATCAATTCCTCCTACCTACGCTATGAAACTCCACAATATTTAATTATTTAGTAATAGAATGGAGGCGGTGAGAATCGAACTCGTGACCATTTAGTCACAAAAGCTCTTATACCATATTAAAAACTAATCCAATTTAAAAGCTTAAGTTATTAGGTGAAGGAATATTAATGATCTTATATTTTATATTAAATTTCTCTAACATATACAATCTAACCACGCGAGAGAAAGTATACCTTCAAGAAAAATTCAAGAATCTTAACCTCTTCCCTCCCCAACCCCCACTTCTCTCTCTCTCTCTGTGTGTGTGTGTGCGCGCTTGCGGGCGGGTGGGTGCGTGCGTTTAAAAGATGTTAATTTAACTGACTAAAACAGCAATGTACCAAAAGTAAGCAGGAGACTTCATCAGTAACAGGAACTATCAAAAGATTGAAGAATTATGTAACCTTAATATCAAGGAAACCAATTATAACCAATTCAATTCATAGAGATTTAAGATATAACACACATACCAAAAAATCCAGCCAGTCTAGACAAGAAATATGAGGCACCTACATCAGGAAATAAACCCAAAGCTGTTTCTGGCATTGCAAAGACCTGCAAATAGTCCACTGTTACATGAAGGTCATGAAGTACAAGCAGAAAATTAATCAATGAAGATTTGGGTGTTAGATAGATGTAAAAGGGAAGGCATATATGCATAGGCTACTTCAAACCAACCTCCTTCGCTATAATCATTTTCCTTTTTAGACAGAAAACAAATTTAATAGGAGAAAGAGGAGGAAGAGTCTAAAAAAATAATAAGAATAAGATATCCACGAAAGTGCCCATGGTACTGTGCAATTATGTAGACATCTGCCAGTGGTTGAGGAGAAATACCAGATACTTTGAAAGACAATATTATGAAAATAGGTTTAGTTATGAACACATGATATTAAGAGAATTTGGCAGGCCATGCTTAGTAAATTGTTGACTTCATCCAGCCAAAGGTACACAACTAACTTGAAAAACTCATTTTCTATTGTAAAAAGAACACATGAAACCAACTGATAACAGATCCACAAAGATAAAAAGGTTACGAAAAGCAAGCAAAAGAAATATTATCCAAATGTCAGATCGTTTCCATGTATGCACATTTAGAATTGATACCACTTACATTTTTTTAATATGGCAAACAGTCCATAATTATACCTACCGACTCTAGTTATCATAACATACTTTGTTCATATGATATATCATGGAAAATAGGATTCAATATATCAACCAAACCTACGGGTGCCACTAAAATTTGAAACCAGTAAGAGAACTCAATATTTCCTATTTCATTTGAAACATGATGGGAGTAAACAAAGAAAAGAGTCATATGATGTGAACCATGTTTTCAACAACAAAATGTAATTAATATAATGATACAGTTTCCTCATTACTATAATTACATGTGTTAGAAAAGTCTAATTTAAAACTATTAAGATGACCTTCACTTAACAACTTGGGCTTTTAGGTAAGATGGTTATTTAATATCATATCAATGCCGATGACAAAGTGGTTACAACATTATGATCCAGTTGCAAGATATAGGGCTTGGAGTTCTACATCGAAAACATAAGGTTCTAGTGTGGGGTTTATATGGACTTTGGACTTTCCTACCTTACGAGCTAGCTTTTGGGGTTAGCCTCTTCCAAGGTTCGTATCGTATGAGTTCAATCCCCACCTCCCCTCATTCTTCTAAGAAATATTTAACTGTGGAAATTCTTAACGCATGTAGGTTGGCATGTATATTATCCTCCCTTTAAGCCCAATGGTCTCTTGTATGAGGGAATATGTCAGAGAAGTCTAATATAAAACCATTAAAGTGACCTTCACTTAATAGCTTAAGATTTTAAGTAAGATGATTGTTTAATAACATGATTTGTTAGTCTATACATAGGTCATATATGCCAAGATTGTTACAAATGTAGTTGTTTCGAGGACTTCTTAGGACTATGTGAAAACATTTGTCAATTGACCATTTGAATTGACAAATCTAATGTCATGTCTCCAAACATGATCTTCTATCTGATAATGACACAACCTATCTAATTATGTTTGGTTCCTTCACGAAATACTACATTTGAGAGTTGCAATGCAGTTTGATTATCACAAACAAGCATCATTTGCATAACCCACTTAAAGTGGAGTTTTTAAGCAATTATTTTAATCAAATAAGTTCACAAGTGGTTGAGGTTATGGCTCGATATTTTCCTTCGATACTTGATCTTGAAACCATATTTTGTTTCTTACTTTTCCAGGATGATTTCAAACAATGAATACATAGTACCCATTAATGGATATTCTATTAGTAAGAGAACATGCCCAATCAGCATTTCAATGTCTAACTGTCTTAAGAGCTCCTTCTTCTTAGCTAAGGCTTTTTCATGGAGCTCCTCTGATATATTTCGGATATGGATCACCACATCCCAATGATCCTTACATGGGGAATAAAAGAATTCACTAGCCACACTAACTGCAAAGGGAGAGATCAAGATGGGTAACTATGAGTAGTTTAGTTTCTCGACCAATCTTCTATATCGATGGGCTAGGACAAGTGGGCCCAAGTCCAGCAATGCAAAGAAGGAGAGTTAGTTACAGGAGAGAAAGAGAGGGGACTTAAGAATGTGGTTATAAGCAGCAAAAGGGGGTGAGGGAGGAGTATATGTATATTGACTAGAGTTTGGGGAATTGGGCAAGGGATACTGTTGGAGTCCCTTGGTGTTTCATTCTTTTGCCTAGTTGTTCCTTTTTTTAAATTTCAAGGCTGTGTTAGCCATATCAGTAGTGTTTTATTTTGATAGGTACTTTAAGGAACTTGTCTCCTTTTTAATCTGTATGTGAATCCAATTTCATCAATTGAGGTTCTATCAAATTGGTATCAGAGCACTTTTGATCTTGGGAGTGCTTTCAGGTCCAGATTTGTGAAGACATGACAACTATGAGAGTGAATCTTAAAGCTTGGGAGAAGGTCAGCACAACAAAGGTCAAGGAGTTGATACAAAAAATGATAAAGACCATAGATGTGTGGGAAGAGAAGCAAAAGGCTCTAACTATGGAAGCCAAGAAACAATTTATGGCAATTATCAGTCCAAGAAGGGTCAAGAGGAAAAAATTGAAGTAGACAAAGGAAACAAAGAAAAAGAAGGTCACGCAGAAGACGAAGAAGTACATTGGAACACCAAAGAAGAAGTGGATGACGATGAAGTTGCAGAAAAGGAAAAAAATAAAGATGCAAAAGAAATTGGAGAAGAAGATCAAGACGAAGAAGAAGAGGTAGAGGTTGAAGAAGAAGAAGAGAAGGATGAGGAAGAGATGGAGGCAGCATTCTTAGATGGTTTGAAGGACGAGATTTTTCAGCAACGGAAATGGTGGGCATCACGTCGTGAGCTCAACGTGACGAAGAGAAACGAGCATCTTAGGCAAGATGACTACCTCGATGGCTCGATGGGCCAAAGTGAGCCAATGGCTAATGGGTCTAGAATGGGCCTTCATTTACGACCAACATTAATAACCCGGAGCAGAAGTCAAAATAGAGAGTCATTTGTTTCAACAAGTATGGGCTCTGGAACACGAAGTGCAAAAAGAACTTACACTAGTGGACCTAATCCAAATGGGTATAACAAATCAATTGGGCCGCAAACGAGGGCCAATGAATTAAATCCTATACTAGATCAAGCCACAGTTGAGAATGAAGAGCGGCAAGGATCCACGTATGGTGGTTTATTAGGAGGCGGCAGGAACAGAGATAGACGCGATGCGAGGTCGTCGGAGGAGATGGCTGACTGCTGGCGATGCAACCTACGCTTCGGACCATGCGTGCAGTAACCCGCAACTCCATGTAATGTTAGGAGAGGGAGTCGAAAGCGAAAACGGGGATGACGAGGTGGTGGTGCACGTGATCGGAGAAGAAGAGCTGACTATGTGCTTGACTGTGAATCTCATGAAGCTTGTGTTTCTAAATGTTGTAGCTGATCCCAATTATTCAACAAGGTACACAGAATTGAAAGGCAGGCCATGTAGGGTCTAAAACAATCAACATCAACAACACCTTTATTGTAAAGAAACAATTCAACCCAAAAGCTTATTTGGGTGAGGCTACATTAATGATTTAGTTAAATGTAAAAGAATACGTTGTGTATTGATCTGTGTCAGGGAGTTACAATATATAGAGACCCTAATGGGCTTAAGTGTAAGGCCCAAACCTAATCCAAACCTAATCCTAATACAGTCAGAATACAGTCAGACTATTTACGGATAAGACAGAATCCAATCATATCTAATCAAATCTAATCATATCATATCTAATATTCTAACACTCCCCCTCAAGCTGGTGCGTATATATTATGAGCACCGAGCTTGTTACAAATGTATTCAACCCGAGGACCTCTAAGAGCTTTAGTGAAAACATCTGCTAGTTGATTAGACGAGTTGACAAAAGCTGTCTTGATTTCTCCTGACTGAATCTTTTCCCGAATGAAGTGACAATCAATCTCTATATGTTTGGTCCTCTCATGAAAAACAGGATTAGAGGATATATGTAGCGCAGCTTAATTATCACAGATGAGTGTCATGGGTTGTTTCTGTTCACAAAGATGAAGCTCCTGAATCAACTGCTTTAACCAGATCAACTCACAGGTAGTATTTGCCATTGCACGATACTCAGCTTCTGCACTAGATCGGGAAACAACAGGTTGTTTCTTACTTTTCCATGAGATTAAGTTTCCTCCGAAGAAGACACAATAACCAGAAGTAGAGCGTCTGTCCGAGGGTGATCCTGCCCAATCGGCATCTGAGTAACCACAAATTTCTGTATTTCCCTGATCCGAATACAACAAACCTTTTCCTGGTGCTCCTTTGATGTATCGGAGGATCCTCACAGCAGCATCCCAATGTGAATCACAAGGGGAATCAAGGAACTGACTGGCCGTACTGACAGCGAAAGAAATATCTGGCCTAGTCACAGTAAGATAATTGAGCTTCCCAATTAGCCTCCGATAACGTCCAGGATCAGATAACGGCTCCCCCTGTCCGGGTAATAACTTGACATTAGGATCCATAGGTGTATCAACTGGTTTACTCCCCAACATACCAGTTTCTTCTAGGATATCCAAGGAATATTTCCTTTGACAGATAGAAATGCCCTGTCTTGATTGCGCCACCTCAATTCCCAAGAAGTAACGCAGCTTCCCAAGGTCCTTTGTTTGAAATGTACTAAACAAATGCTGTTTTAACTGACGAATTCCGTCTTGATCACTTCCGGTGAGAATGATGTCGTCAACATAGACTAACAAATAGATACACTTATCAGGAGATGTAATCCTATAAAACACAGAATGGTCAACTTTACTGCGGATTAAGCCAAACGCCTGAACAGCAGAACTGAAGCGACTGAACCATGCTCGAGGAGACTGCTTGAGACCATATAAGGATTTCCGAAGACGACACACCTTTCCAGACTCCCCCTGAGCAACAAAACCAGGTGGTTGCTCCATGTAAACTTCTTCTTGTAAATCACCATGAAGAAAGGCATTTTTTATGTCAAGTTGAAGGAGTGGCCAGTGACGAACAGCAGCAAGGGCAAGAAAGAGGCGGACTGACGCCATCTTAGCGACCGGAGAAAATGTATCGCTATAATCAAGGCCAAAGATTTGAGTAAAACCCTTGGCAACTAAACGTGCCTTGAGACGATCAATATGGCCATCAGGTCCAACTTTCACAGTAAAAACCCAGCGACAACCAACTATAGACTTCTCTGGAGGAGCAGAAACAAGGTCTCAAGTGCCATTGGAATGAAGTGCAGTCATCTCATCAAGCATTGCTTGGCGCCACCCTGGATGGGAAAGTGCTTCACCTGTGGTCTTAGGAATAGAAATAGAAGAAAGACTAGAAACAAAGGTGAAATGAGGTGAAGAAAGACGGTCAAAACTCAAAAAGGTATAAAGAGGATAAGGGTTACGAGTAGTACGTGTACCTTTTCTTTGAGCAATAGGAAGAGTCTCTGATGAAGGATCCGGAGGGGAAGAAGCAATAGCAGTGGGCGATGAGTCAGCAAGAGTCGAGTCGACAGGAGGCACAGTTTTGCGACGCTGATAGGTGAGAAGTGGACGGTCCTCAGGTATAGAAGCAATAGGTTGCTCATCTGGAATAGAAGCACCTGCAGCTGGCAAAGACAAGTCAAGAAAAGGAACAGGAAGTACATGATCAACCTGTGACATCTGAGATGGGATAGAATTAAAGGGTTGTTGATCAAGAAAAGTGACATCAGCGGAAACTAAGTAACGCTTAAGGTCGGGAGAATAACAACGATAACCCTTTTGAAGACGAGAATAACCAAGAAAGATACATTGAAAGGCTTTGGATGTTAACTTATCCTTACCAGGAGTGAGATCATGAACAAAACAAGTACAACCAAAGACATGTGGAGTTAGAGGATAGAGAGGAACATCTGGAAGCAATAGATTATGAGGAATGTCATTGTGGAGCACAGATGAAGGCATGCGATTGATGAGAAAACAAGAGATGAGTACAGCATCTGCCCAGAAGTGAAGAGGAACCTGCATATGAATAAGAAGGGTACGGGCAGTTTCAATGAGATGTCTGTTTTTACGTTCAGCCACCCCATTTTGTTGTGGAGTGTGAGGACAAGTAGTTTGATGTAAAGTACCTTGTGTGGCCAAGAAATTAGAAAAATCAATAGAAACATATTCCTTAACATTATCACTACGTAGAATACGAATAGAAACACCAAATTGAGTATGGATCTCAGTAGAAAACTTTTTATAAATGGAAAATAACTCAGAACGATTTTTCATTAAATAGGTCCAAGTGCAACGGGAAAAATCATCAATAAAGGTAACGAAATACCGAAAACCTAAGACAGACAAGGTACGACTTGGACCCCAGATATCTGAATGAACAAGAGAGAAAGGGGCATCAGCTCGTTTATTGACTCGACTGGCAAAAGAGGAGCGTGTATGCTTCCCTTGTTGACATGACACACAATCTAAAGACTGAAGACCGGACAAAAGAGGAACCATTTTCTGCAACTTTGAAAGACTTGGATGACCAAGGCGACTGTGGATAAGTTGTGGATGACCAAGGCTCTGATACCAAATGTAACAGCCCCAAACCCTGTAGCATGATATTGTCCGCTTTGCCCTCAGGCTCACGGTTTTGTTTCTTGGGACACCCCACAAAAGGCCTCCCACTAGAAGAGGTATCCACACCCTTATAAGGCATGCTTCGTTCCCCTCTCCAACCGATGTGGGACATTACATCCTCCCCCACTGGGAATACAGCGTCCCCGCTGTACACACCGGTCCAGGGCCAGGCTCTGATACCAAGTTAAATGTAAAAGAATACGTTGTGTATTGATCTGTGTCAGGGAGTTACAATATATAGAGACCCTAATGGGCTTAAGTGGAAGGCCCAAACCTAATCCTAATACAGTCAGAATACAGTCAGACTATTTACGGATAAGACAGAATCCAATCATATCTAATCAAATCTAATCATATCATATCTAATATTCTAACAGATTTATATATCTCAACACGCCCCCTCACACGAGAGCCCACTGGGCTTGAAGAGTGGACGATACACAGGCCCACCTACCTATGCGAAGCACCTACCTGTGCGAAGAAATAAATCCCACTAGAAAGAAAGTGGGGGGCGGTGAGGATCGAACCCGGTACACCGAGGCTCTGATACCATGTAAAGAACCAATTCAACCCAAAAGCTTAAGCTTTTGGGTGAGGCTACATTAATGAATTATATATCTCAACATTTATCCTAAACTAGTTAGGATAAAAGTGGGTAAGATATTTCAATGCTCTCAAAGGTTGAAAAAGGTCCAAAAGATTTTGAAAGAAGGAACTATTCTTTACAGGATAGAAATAATTATGGATCAGCTCAATCAATTACTAGAACTTCATCTAATGAAGAAAATAGTTGAGTCCTTTATCGTATTGCCTATTCTAGATCTTCTGAACCCTCATCAATGAAGATGAAGGTTTTATGTAGCTTTGTTTGTAGAATATTATCACGTCCCAATGATGGAAAGCTAAGATATTTTGGGGGTGAAACACGTATTATTAGTATAATTACATGATTTGTTAGACTATTTGATAAATCTAGATACTATTTAGCCCTTATAATGAATCTAAACATTATTTTCATAATAATGCTCTCAACAAAACGTACTGTATTCTCAGTAGCAATACGAAATCTTCCATGGATAGAAGCACCAGCACCACCTCCCATGACAATTCCATTAAGAATTGAAACCTTCAAATGTTTTCAAACAAGTAAAAGGAAAATGTATTATATGTCAGACTCATGAATGCAAAAGCAAAACAGAAAAAGCTTTTGTACATAAGAAAGAGTTACCTGGGGTTTACTATATGTTGCCATCAAGTAATTCAATCTATACTCAGCCTCAAAAAATTTTGCACCCTTCCACCAATCACCTATTTCCATAGGAAATAAAAAACTATTAAATCTGCATTAAAATTAGATACTACAATTGCAAACACATGCATTCAATTTATAGAACCCTCTCGTCTCATAATAGGTGTCTGGTATGTGCCATAAGTTCACACATGGATTTCCAAAGTAGAAGAATATTTCATGTTAAAATAGCTTCCCTCTCATATTAAGGTTGTAACTATTGAATGAAGAGGAAATAAGAAGAGATTGAATGAATTCCATGTGTTTGTGTTACACAACGGTGATTATATAACAAGAGTTTCAATGAATCTATACACTACTTTTACACTTAATTACACACTATTTTACACTGTTTGAACACAGTATTAAACTGTTGGTCTACACTGAACACAATGTTAGCATATAAGTCATATATGTTGAACAATGAGGAAATGAGAGGCATAATTTGAATTTTGTTTGTCTCAATATCACAACAGAAACTCTATTATATAAATTGACTATAATTTTACGATGTGGGACTTTATCCCTCACATATTTTGGAGATTGGGAATAATTAGATATTTTCAAAAAGTAATCATGTTGAAGCAAAATATCAAGCCACGACATTGGCTACTTATGAACTCATTTGGCTCAAACAATTACCTAAAGAACTGAAATTTGGATAAATTGTGCAAGCAACGCTCATTTGTGAAAATTAAGCTGCATTGCATATTGCCCTATTCCATTATTTCATGAGGAACAAATACATCAAGATGGATTGTCATTTCTTCAAAGAAGATATCTTATCAGAAGATATCATCAATTCAAATTATCAGCTGGTGGATGACTTCACTAACTCTTTCAAAGAAAGGAAGAGAAAAGAAGAGAGAAAAGAGTTAAAACGTAAAATACTCTGTATATTTTCTAATTGATACAAAAGATGAACAGTACAATAACATAAATAGTGGAGTTGCACATGACAGCTCAGCAACAAAGGTAAATTCTAGAATTAGTACCCCTCACCTATTCTAGAAACTATTAATTGAGGTAAAAAAAACATGCAGTAAAATTGTAACAAAAATAGAAAAGAATATCCTCAATACAAAAAGACTATAATATGCTTAATACTCTTTGGGGGGTCATCTATAAGTTATACAAAACAAGCTTGGTGCATATATGACCTATATGGTCCACCTTGAGGAGTAGTATTGGAAACCATGTAAATAATATCTAGTTTCATTGTATAGACTAACCAAAATCATGTAATTACGATAATTAAGATAACCATCATATCTATATTTATTAACTTTTTGGTTATATAATCTAGTCTCTTGTGTAGTTTAGACACAAATTTCACTAAATGTTTCTTGTTTCCTCCTTCCTTAACAAATATTGTACCCCAAAAAATTTTAATTAAAAAAATATATATACCTTTGATTCCTTAATTAATGCAAAACCAACACTTAAGAGCAAATTAAAATATATAACAAAATAGAATAAACTAACCAAAAAAAGGCATATTGAAGAAATAAATAAATAAATGAAATGCAAAGAGCTCAAAATATCATCAAATTATCAACCTGAACAAGCATAAAAAGAAGTAATCAATCAGCAACAAAACTCGAGAAAATAATTTATCAAGCCCAATTTAAAACCCAAACCACTATAATTAGAAAGTTAAGCTAAACAGAATAACGAAAAAAAAGCTAAGTGGTTGTGCCCTTGTTCATGGATGATCAGGGTTCCAAAGCAAAAGGGGAAGGGGACCTGTGTAATGGTTTCCGGGGAATGGCAGCTTGGTTGTGGGTGATTTGGCTATGAAGGGGTGTTGCTGGAGCAGTGGCTAACAGCAAGGTTAATGGCTGGAACTGGAATGGGCTTGGTGTGCAGGAACCATGGCATAGACAAAGTGGGGCTTGGTTGGGTAGTGACTAGGCACTTGGGTTCTGTGGTGGCTACAAGAGATTGGGGTTATTTCTGATTTGAGTGAAGGTTCTAGGTTGGGTTCAGGGTAAGTTGCTCCCCAGGCCTTTGCAATGGTATGTCTAATTTACGTGAGTGGAGGCAGTTAGTTGTGCATATCTGCTGCTGGGTTTGTGTGGTAGATTAATAATGACTTTTCACGGCTGTTTGAATGTATTTTGGCTGTTTGAGCTTCGCGTTTGCAAGGCGCTCAATTGTTGTCTTGATGGAGTTTTGATTTTGTTGTTTTTTGGCCTGTTGGAGGGAGATGCTTAAACTATGTTGTTTCTGGTCTTGCAATTGAGTAATAGAGTGAATGGAAGTAGTGCAAGTGAGTGATGAAATGGATGTTTGCAAGTTATAAACTTAAGAGATTTACAGATTTGGGAGTTGAAAATTGTAGTTCATAGACAGGTTATTACTCAAATCACAATCAACATGAAGTCGTACATGTGCAGTGCAAGTATAAAATCATGTTATATAAGAATTAGCACACAAAAATTATTAAAAAAATAGCTCAGAAAACCTTACTTTCTTATAACAGAGATTAAGAAACTCTGCTTTGCACTCAAAAACTCTCAATCATAATGGCCAATAAAGGACAAATATAGAGACTTCTCCCTTAGTCTCTCTGTTTCTCATCCTACACAGCCAGAAATTCAAAGCTCTCCCTTTCGCATTCACTCTCTTAGTTTCTTTTCTTTTTTTTACTGTCATAATCCCCTAACTCTTTGATACCAATAGATGCATGGATGGTAAGAGCAGTAGAAATGGGCATGGTCTAAAAATGATAGAGCATGTGATCTTTGCTTGCCTCCATCATCTTCTACCCTCCTAATTACTCGTAAGCGTGCCACTGGTTACAGAGGAACTAATAAGTTGAAAAATCATTCGATTCTAACTAAAAGATGGAGAATTGCTTTGGTGAAATTTTGTGAATTGGGCCATGAGTTTAATTGATGGGTTAAAATGCACCCAAGGATCATAAGGTGGCAAAATAAAATTAATAAAATCAGATAAAATCAATTAAACATATGAGATGAAATCATAAAAACCTAGGACAAAATACAGCCTTCACGGATATGTAAGGAATATGATGGTTAAATCATGCGACCAATTGAGTAAAAAAAAAAACATACGTCCTCTCGCATCACGAGCAACGGCTGCAACATCACCACCAGCACAAAATGCCCTTCCATTTCCCTGATATAGGCAGCCATGAGACATGCCAAAAGTCAGAAAATCCAGATTCTTTTTGAAGATGAGAAGACCATGTTGCTTATCAAATTATACTATTGTTCCATCCATGACTTCTCACTCTAATAGTTAAGGTACGAAAAAAATACATTTACATATATTTACATGAATTGTTTTAACAGTAGAAGTTTGCAAAAAACAAATGACTAAGCAAAATACAAGATTGCTGCATCCTCTCTAACATTAAAAAAATAAGGGGGGGTTCACCCAACCAGAAATAAAATTTGGATATTTGCGAAAACGGAATGCCAGAAAAAGATATTCATTAAAGAACAAATAACCACATTCTTACACAGAATGACCATTTTGTACTACTTGGAAAAACTTTACTCAGAGTTCCCTTTTCATAGCTTTCCCAATAAAATATTACTCCATCTTCTCTAAAAATGAAATTTTTTTATTTTCGTTTTGATAAGAGAAGAAAATTTTATTAGGGTAAAAGGAGTCCAAAGGTGGAGGATAAGATAGCCCCTGTAATTAAAGATGTTAAATATATATATATATATATATATATATATATATATATATATTCATACAGAACAACTCTCCAATCTCATTGCACAGACTTATCCAGAAAATTTCCTTAAAAGACACCATAAAGACGAAATAGACAATGTATTGTTTCAGAGAAGGTCCAGATCAAAAGCTTATGCAAAGCAATTGACTTTACGTTTTTGCATTTGCCATAAATAGCTTATGTAAAGCATTTAGTCGTTAATAATCAATAAAGATGTAAAAGGAGGAGACACATGAAGGAGCTGTTTTGGTTTTCCAGAAGACATGCAGGCTTGAACTATATCAGCTCATTGTCTAGCCAAAAAAAACCATAAAAAACCAAAATACAACTTGATATAAGAAAATACTTTAAACTTTATTGTACAGGAAAGTTTCCAAACATACATGTTGAAACTTTTTATAATAGGCAATAGTAATAATGGTACAAAACTTATTTTTCTATTGAAAAGAAAATAGCACTAATGCAATAAAGTAAAAGTGCAGATGAACACCACGCAAGTACACATGTTCCACACACAACTAAAATGTTTTTTTACCTCAAACTTAGGTTCATAGTCAATTTTGAAAGCAAAGGATGTGAAAATGTGCACCTTGGTTAGTGTATTCAGCATATGCAGAATTCTTATGAGAAACAGATATACTTATATTTCAAGAACTTACGTAGTAGTTTATTTATTGTTAGTTCAATGCTGCTAGTGCAAGCAGTTTCTTATGTTTCACTTCCACAGAGAGTCAATAATCCAAAAAAAAAACACTAAAACGAATGTGATCACTAAAAGGAAATTACCTTCATGATGATCAATTTAACATCAGAATTTCTCTCATCGTCATGAAAAATTTCAAGTAGCCGAGATACCTATAACAAGAAGAGACCAAGCAAAACACACACACAAAGTGAACATCAATATCACCTTTATCCTATAAACTAGTTAAAGAAAAAGAATCCAATCTATACAAAGAAATGGAATTACATGAATTTGAAACTCTCAGAGTTCAAAAGCTAAGATAGAATTAAAAATTAATTAAAAAAACAAAGAAAAACGAATTAAAAATGAAACCTCAACTCAGAGCTTCAGAAAAAAAAAAATAATAATAATAATTAAACAGGTAAAGTGATGCATTGAACAGAAAAGATAAATAATGCAGTGTGAAATATCATAAAGGAGCGATATATAGTACACACCATATAAGAAGAGAGGGCATTCAATTGCTTAGGCCTGTTTAGTGTCAAAACTCTCGCAGATGATTTACGCTCCACCAGAATCTGTTGAACAAAACGAAAAACAGTTCAGAACTTCATTTTTTTCTTTTTTTAAGAAAATGAAGGAAAATGAAAATACAAATTGAAAGGGGAAAAAAACAAAGGAGTTGGAAATTGAAGTTTTCTGTGAAACTATGGAAGCTGAATATTAACACAAAATTAAGAGGAGAGAGAGAGAGAGAGAGAGAGAGAGAGAGAGACCTGATCGTCGTTGGATTTGGTGGAAGAAGCCATAATTGGTTGGTTTTGTTTGGGGATTTTCTCGTGTTCCCGTCGGCGAGGAAGGACAAATGCTGTGGACTGTGGTGGTGTTGCTGAAGTACTGACTCAACTCTATGATTCAGAGTTTTTTACTTTTTTATTTTTTTATTTCTAACAATATTATTCATAACCGGGATCTGTCGATATGTCCGTAATTCGTTAAGGTAGAGTTTGGTTGAAGATTTATTTTGAGATTGATGGGAAAGTGTAGGTGAATATTGGAAAATACCACGATTGGTTCAGGTTTTTAAAAAAAAATATTAGGCAAATAGGATAGATGGGGAAATGAATTTTGTGTTGATTTTTGGATAAAATTCACTGTTACAGAATACTAGTTGAGATGTGGTATTTTGAGATAACTGGGGAAGTGAAAAAACAGGTGCGAAGTTTCTCCCAAACATAGATTTTACAAATTTAAATAAATTTTCCTGGTAATATTTCGATCAACCAAACAATTTTTTTACATTTTCCTACCAAATTCACTTTCCAACCATTTTTTTTTTTTTTTGGACATTCAAACTATTTTCCTAGTAATTACATTTCTATCGTATTCAAAAAACTTCTCCTCAACCAAACGCCTCCTTATAAGAAAATAAATTCCTGAAATTTGTTCGAGTTAAGTGGTCCCGTTGGAATTTTATAATACTGAAGTAAGAAAAAAATTTAATATCTATTTGAACTTTGGTACGTGTTAAAAGGGAAATTATTTCCATCAAAGGGGTGAATAAAGTATATCGATATAACGATAATAATAATAATAATTGGTAGTTTGAACTCTGTAAGTGAAAAAAAAAAAAAAAAATTTGATTCGATCCCCATATATTATTTTTAAAAAAGTTTTAAATATTTTTATCCATAACATTATCCTTCACATTAGAGAGGCATGTGTGTGCATGGGAGAGTGACGGGTTGCCTATTGTAAAGAAGACCCTTTTATTAACTACAAAAAAAAAAAAAAAAAGACGACCCTTTTAGTAATAAGTGTGATATTAAAACTTTTGGCTAGACACGATATACCGATCCAGAACAATATTATTTATATAAGTAAATTCACAACAACAAAAAGTGTGTTTAATATGATTCAAAAAATTCACAAAAGTATAATAAACAAAGATTATGAACATACTTCAAATTTATATTATATAAATATGCTACATAAAACCATTTAGATATAAATACTTATGAATATAATATACAATATACTACATAAACTAAAAAAAACTTAGCATATTATTTTAAAGGTTAAAGATTTTTCGTATCATACGAGAAGAGTATCTTTTCTTACTCATACAACAAATATATGTTCCATTGAAAAGAGAAAAGAGAAAAAAAATTAGTGAGACCCACATATTTGTTATATATGTAAGAGAAGAAATTCTTCTTATATGACATGAGAAGTCTTTAACTCTTATTTTAATTACATAAATAAAGTATGAGTTTATTTTTTTTTAGTTAATGTAAATAAGTTATGGGTTTGCTTTTTCTTAGATAACTTATCTACATTGAGTCCAAAATGATGTCATTTTTAGACGGAAATCAAAGTATTTTTGTAATTATAATTTATTTCAGGACTATAATAGTCTTTTTATTATAATTTTTTAATTTTTCAATCCAAAATGACGTCGTTTTGGAAGCGAATGTAGATAACTTATTTACATTCACTTTAGAAACATTCAAGCCATAAGTTATCTATATTAAGTTCAAAATGACATCGTTTTGAGACGAAAATCAAAGTATTTTTATAATTGTAAATTTTAAAGTTATAATAAAATTTTTTATTATAATTTTTTATCTAAAACGACATTGTTTTGAGAATGAATATAAATAATTTATATGTACAAACATTAAAACCATAAAGTATCAATTGAGGTTAAGTAGTAAAATGTGGTTTTGGCCGATAATTAAGCCTAGAATCTCATTGCAATATTCTATCATTCCATCATTGGCCGATAATCAAACCTTCATGTATGCATCTAATGTTGATTGCCCCACCATATTCATGTCATTGAATTGAGCGTTGAACTCCTTATATGATACTAGGGGTGTGCACCACCAATGTTCGTGAAGAAGCCTCTATCACATACCACCAATGTCAATGACATGCCCCACCAGAATGGACATAACTGGCCCTTTCCCAAGCACACGCGCGACCTAAGTTCTTATTGCATGTGTAGACTACTTATTTTTAATAAATTCTACTCAAATATTTACATAAACTGTATATCTAAACAGGTATCTGCCTTGGAATAGATTATTTTCTGTTGCAATATAACTCCAAGAAGCAAAGTCCTTGTGCTTGTAGCTCTCACCTTGGCCCACAAGCAAACGAATTCTATAAAGAGACTAAACACGCAACTTATTGTTTTAATAATTGATGATAGCAACATCTTATATGATACTAGAGGTGTGCAAAAGAACAAAAATACTGAACTGAACCGAACTGCACTTAAAATAATCGGTTTTTGAAAACAATTTCATGATCTAAATTGGTTTTTAAAAAATCAGTTCAAGAATCAAATTGATTTTTAGAAACCAGATCAAGAACTGAACCGGTTTCAAACAAAACCGAACCGTTTTATTACTTTATTTCTTTAATTTTTCTCTTTCTTTCTTTTCAGAATAGGTTCGACCCGAATTGATTTCAACTGAACCGAACCGAATCAATTTCTTAACGAATCGAACCATTTAAACCAATTTAGTTCATTTCAACCCATGCATACCCCTATATGGTACTACCTCATGAGGGGAATCTAAGTTATTACCACCATATGGTACTTGTTCCGGATGGCCCAACAATTAGCGGCCCAATGGTTCAGGCCCAACTTCAGCCTCCTGCCCACGTCAGCCCTAAGAGCTATCAAGGATCCCTCCCCAACCCCCAACGCAGCGACTCTCCCTAGGAGAAGCACCAAAATGTCCTGTCTTGGGACCCCAACCCCCAAAGGCGACCGCCATAGTCACCACAAAGGAAAACTGCCCCTTTGTCCCACGCTGACACCGCCAGGCGCAGAGGACGCAGCGCTGCTATCATAGCAGCGCCTGCCACGCCCAACACTGCCACCCATAGTGAATCCCAAGAAGGGTTGACCCCCTCCTCACCAACCCACACGAGGTGCAACCTTCCCCTATAAAGAGCCCTTTAGGCACACCATGAAGGGATCTTATGTATCGTTGTTATGCCCATTTATATTGAGTCACATTACACACACCGAACTCCATTGTTGATTTCTTGATACATACTTGGAACAGTACCTCTTAGCTTGGTCTCTACCTGTGCTAAGGGTATCATCCATATAGCGATTCATCCCCAAAGGGAACATAGTGGACTTATAGATCCCAATGGTACATTGGCGCCGTATGTGGGGAACTATAAACTTCCATTCCCATTCTCCTACCCAAGATCTAAAGGAGGCATTTCACTTTCTGATAGCAAAACATGGCTGTCACGACAAGAAGAGCAGAACAAACTAGAGTTGTTACCCCTGAAGGTCATGCACAAACAATTCATTCTAACTCTCCACCATCCATGCATTCAGCCCCAACTGAGCAAGCAGTCGGCGAGGCCCTTCCCCCGGTACTACAATGTGTTGGCCCGCAATTACCAGCAGCAGACGCAGAAGTGGCACAACTCAATCGTCGTGTAGCCATACACGAAATGCAAGGAGAGAACTTGATCCCTGGCCCACAAATCATCCCCCCAGCTTATCACCAACGACCAGCTAGAAGCCAGCCCGTCTCTATGTACAACGACCATCAAGTTCCAGTGGCCGTCCCATATCCCCTGGACCTTACACCCACAATGTTGCTGCCCCTTACCCCCCACATTTCCCTACTGGCTTTCCATTCCACGGTTACGCAATACCGCCCCATAATGCTATCATCCCACAACCCCAAGGATCAGGCATAAACCCAGGCCCGCCACAGTATGGCGCTCATCAAGCCCCAGCCCTCTCTTACTCGGTTGAGGCCCTCCAAGCACCGCACCCACCACCAGACCTACATGCCCGTAACCCGAACTTACGAGTAACATATGCTAATACCTCAGGACGCAACAAACCTCTGAACTGATAGTCTACGCCTAACGCCCATACCCCTCAGCTTCAAAGGACCGTCAAATATCACAACGTATGTGGGCGACACTGATCCTTTTGAATGGATCCAGAAATTTGAGGCAGCAATGACCTTGCATAGCGAGACAGACCTCCTTATATGCAGGACTTTCCCTACACTCCTGGGGGGTAGAGCTTTGACATGGTACACCACTTTGCCAACAGCGAGTATAGCATCCTGGGATGATCTGGCCAGCAAATTCCAAATCCATTTCGCAACAAGCCGCCCAGTGCCCAAGTCTGTACACGCTCTCGAAAAAATTCGACAGCATTCAGGGGAACCCCTCAGATCGTTCCTGGACCGCTTCGACAAAGAGGTTCTTCAGGTACAAGGCCTAGACCCTAAAGTGCAAGTGCACATACTTCTGTCAGGCGTTCGCTTATGAGCTCGCCCGCCACGAAAATACTGACCTTGAAGAGGTCAAGAAAAAGGCTTAGGAGTTCATGAGGATTGAAGAGTACAAGGGGAGTAGAGCTAAGGATTCTCATAACCAAGAGAAGAAAGCTAACAAAAAAGACCATCAAGATGAAGAGAGGAAAAGTCACAAATCCTCCAAGTATTCCACCCACCCAGTTGGGCGTGATACCCAAATACGCCAATCACACAGCGTTCTGCAAACTGAATACAAAGAACGCAAGAGTAACCCACAGCCCCAACAGCCAGACAGGGAGACCACTGTGTATTGCAAATTCCACCGTAGTAACGGTCATAGCACTGAAGAGTGCAGATCTCTCAAGGATGAGATTGACGAGCTAATCAAGGGTGGAGCCCAAGGGCGTACGAGTAATTCCGGACGTGATGTCGGTGCAGTCAGGCGTCGCCGTCAACGTAGCAGGTCACCAGAAAGGCGAAGAGCTGGCCAATAATAGCTAATTTTGGCGTTAACCGCGTTTTTGTTGATCATGGCAGCTCTGCCGATATTTTATTTTTACCTTATTTCAAGGCATTAGGGTTTACGGTGAATGATTT